ACCAGGATGGTCTCGATCTCTTGACCTCGTGATCCACCCGCCTCGGCCTCCCAAAGTGCTAGGATTACAGGCTTGAGCCACCGCGCCCGGCCGCATTTCTTAAACTCTTTGACCTTCACTTAATTTACGATGACGTGAAGATAAAGAATGGCCATGTCAGAGGGTTGCTGTGAAGATTAAATGAGATGGTGGATGTAAAGTGTTCATCCCAGTAACTGACCCAGATTCATCGCCCAGCCTTTGTTCACTAGGGTTATCACCATCATCATCATCATCATCATCATCATCATCGCCATCACCAACTTCATTGGCTTCTTTTGAGATGGGCCATTTCATCACTCCACAGAGCCAATTGTGCATCTGTTCCTTCAATTGCACTGAAATGGTTCTCCTTACACATATCATTGGACCTAGTTCTCCCCTCTGGAGCAAAGCAGAAAAAACATGTAAGAAGTCATAAAGAAACACATATGGGCTTTGAAATCTGATTCTGGGCCAGACTCTTGGACAAGCCTCATAACCATATTCATCTATGCAAACAAACATTTTTGAGCACCTACCAGGAGTAAGGTACTGTTTTTGGCACTGGGGCTTCAGTGAACAAGAAAGACACAACATCTGTGGCCTAAGGTGACGCTTAGGAAAGGGAGGCAGCCCCTGAGCAATTCATTATGCAAGTGTTTATGATTCCAAGCAGTGCTGTGAATGGATGGTAGAGATACAAGAGGCAGCTGCTATGCTCTTTAATTTTTAAATCTGTAAAGTGTAGATAAACAAATCCACCTGAGGGAGCAGCTATGAGGGTTAAATGAGATCAAATTTATGTGTCTCATGTCACTCAGGAGGCTTTTTGAATGCCTGTGACGGGAACCCAAACCAAACTGGCTGAAGCCCAAAAGGGAATTAATTGGCTCACCATAAATAAAATATAACTTGGTTGAATCCAGTGGCTCCGATGATGGCCTTTAAAAAATCCAGGTCTGTCTCTTTCTCCACCTCTCATCCCACCTTGCTCTGTGTTGGCTTCATTGTCAGGCAGTCTCTCCCATGGAGGTGCATGATGGCCCCAGCTTGGTGGAAATTCTCCTTCCAATAGTTGTAATGGAAGTCCCAGGCATGAATCTCCTTGACCTGAGCCAGGCTGCATGCGTTCAAGGGTTCTCAACCAGGGGGCAATATTGCCCTATCAGGGGACATTTGACAATGCCAGAAGATATTTCTGGTTGTCATAACACAAGGGTGCTAATAGCATCCAGGAGACGCCAGAGATGCCTCTAAAAATCCTACAGTGTGCAGGACAGCACCCACAACAAAGAATGTTCCAGCTGCAAATGTGAAAAGTGCCAAGGTTAGAAAATCCTGGCAAATAACATTCTAATGCTCTGGAGTAAGTGCTTTAAAAAAGCACATCCTAAATGCCTTGAGAATGACCAGTGATTATAATGTTGACTGGCCAGGCCTGTATCATGTCCCCACTCCTGAAGCCATGATGGGGTGAGACAGGCAGGAGGCTTCTTGGTGGAAATCTGGGGAACTCCTCCCGGAAGAAGGATGAGGGTTGAGCAAGCACCGACAACAAGCATCCCATTCATC